GGATTCCATGCAATGGCGTTTTTATGAAGAAAGAGGTTGGAACGGATGCTGGTTCGAGCCCTAGGCTGGGTTATGGAAAACGGTCTGGCTCGAAGGGAGTAAGGATCATTGTCTACTTGTAGAACAAACCAATCAGTGTTGACCTCTGGGTTTTGTATCATCTGAAACAAAAATACAAGATTGACCTTGAGCCTGCGTAGCCAAAGTGGTTCTAGTTTAAGCTGTTTGCATCTGTCTCGATAACTAAGCGTGGCCGAACCAAGTAGACGTTTGGTAAAATTTCATTGCACCCTCTCAATTTCCATACGGTCAATCTTGTGCGAACCGGTGAACAAAATTAAACAGTACTCTAAAATTGGTCTGCCGCAGGACTTGTATAGGGCTAGCCGCGTTTCCAGAAGTAGCATCGATTTAAAACTCATAGCGATAGTTAAGCAAGCTTTTGCAGAGCTATAGCTCATCTGCTCGGTGAAGTTTAGTAAACTGGAGTAATGTACGCCCAGGTCCCTGACTGTAGTGTACCCTGCAAGTGATGGACCATATAGTTTCAGTGCGTCGGGAGGCACACTACAACGATGTGATATAACTGCATTTTGCAGGTGAGAACTCCGTTTTCCATAGACTGCACCAATGTTCAAACACTTTAAGGTCGCTCTGTACAATGGAAATTCCGTTATGTATGTGGGCTAAATCAAATGTGAAGACTACTTTAATGTCATCTGCAAATAGAAACGGTTTAGCGTGTGAAAAGGAGTCAATTACCTCGTTGATGAAGAGGAGGAACAGCAATGGTCAAAACACACTGCTCTGAAATACTTCACTGGTTACTGGTAGTGGTTCTGAGTCATTGTAGCCTAGTCAAACCGACTGGGTGCCCTTAGCAAGAAACGATGTGAACCAACGCAATAGTTGGTTAGAGATACCAAAGGATCTAAGTCTGGTCAGAAGGCCAGAGTGTGGGACTCGGTCAAAGGCCTTCCTCATGTCGAGAAAGATTATAATCATCGCAGATCCAGTGTCAATGTTACGTGTCCCCATGTTTAAGAACTCAAACTGGCATGCGTGACATGACTTAGCCGGCAGGAATCCATGTTGGGACCTGTTACTAAGTTTTCGCGGTAGCGGGAAGTTAAGCCTTCTCTCCTTAACCATCCTCTCCATCCCCCTTGCTGCAAACGGCGTATGACTGATGAGGCGTTAGTTGTTAATGTCTAACCGGCAGCTACTTTTGTGTCTTGGTTGAACGACCGCATGCTTCCAGGCTGTTGGGAAGGTGCCGTTACTCATAGATAACGTGAATATGTTAAGGAGTAAAAGTGGAATATCAGGACCACCTTGTTTCAGAAGAGCAGAGGGTAGGCCATCGGGACTAGGGTGGTAAGTCAACTTGAGTGACTTTATTGTCCTCGTAATCGAGTGCATGTCAAAGTTGACATTAAATAGCTCGTCCTTAGTTAGCCGAGGTACTACTCTGGGATGTGTAGCATGTACATCGTTGAATGAGTCACAGAAGTGCCTGGTAACGAATTCGCATAGGATATCTGGGACAGTAACTGCTATGCCGTCCGACATCATTACCGATGTTATGAGTTTTGACGTTCTTCTGCTTCTCTGTTGAATTAGATGGACAAGAGCTTTAGAGCTGTTTTTGACAGAGAGAGCCCTGCGTCCTTCAGCTAGCATAGCATCTGAATGCTCATTCCTTTATCCTGTTTGGAACTTATTAATACGTATGAGAAGTGAGAAGTCATGCGTTTTTCGATAGTTGACTTACCAGTTTCTGGAGTTTGACGTCCGCTGCATGCGAGGGAGCTACGCCCAGTGATGGTTTCGTAAATCATCGGGATGGTTTGGGTGTAAATACATCTATGCAGAATTCTAGATTGCAGTGGAGCTCGTAGACCGCAGCTCCGCTATCAGTGGTCGGGAAGAAGCAATCCCAATTCATGGACCTTAGAAGAGTTGAAACGCTGTTCCAATTAACGTGCTGCATTCGTCTGGACATAGGAGTTAGTTTGGTCGTAGTGTAGGACTAGTCTATACTAGTCCGAGAGTGTTCTCGCTCTGGTGGTGGTGCCAGAAACTCAGAAGAACGCACACAACGGATTGTGTTTGCGGAAGGCTACAATCGAACGAGAAATGAATGAAGCGACGACAGCATATGTCAGTACCGGAACCCACCTTGGAGACAAGCGGGGAGCCGGATGTAGTTCAGAATTGCCGTAGCGTCGGCATTAAAACAAAAACCAATATCGTATGACTGAGTAATAAAAGTGTACATAGGATAAGAAATATCTTTTGGGTTGCTACCGAGCTCTCCTCCTAGAAGTCTGAACGAAGAAGCCATCGAAATCAAGTGCTTGTGAATCGCAGTTCTCACAAGATTATCGTGTACAAAAAGTGTCTGTCCGTGTTTGGAAATAAATGTAGCCGAAAATTTGTATCCGCTGTGCCGTCCGGTCTTTACTATTTATAGATTACAAGGCAGGGTGCATTTCGGCGAGTCGTTGGAGCGGGCTAGTCGGGCTACAAAATAACTGGCTAGTTCAGAACAAGACCGACAGGACCTCAAACTCCGCTGCTGCCAAACGGTGCACCCGGGAGTGGTCTCTCCCCCTGCCACACACCGCCCAGCTCCAAAAGGACCCTCGTCCGACGAAGAAACGACCATGGTCCCACGAAGAAGCGAAGCTTATCTTGCGAAGAAGCAACCAGCGTTCCCCACCGGGTTCTCTAAAACATTCCTCGTGTGTGCCAGTCGCTCGAAGGGGAGGGTTGGGGCATGTAGAGAAGAGAAAGTAGAAAAAGTTGCACAGAAAACGCTAAAATGGAACCAATGAATGACCTGTGTGTTTAAAATTTTTTGGTTTTGAATATTTTTTGAAAGTTTTTTCGGAGTGTTTATATATTTTTGCTTGTTTTCATAACGTTAATCGACCAAAAGTGGAGCAAATATTTACAATATTTGCAAGGCTAAACATATTTACATTGTACATAGTCGGAGAAACGAACAGGCTTACACACCTTTTGACAACGGCGATTAGTCGTGGGAGGCGGTGGGCTAGATTAAAGAGATGTTGGGACGGCTTGTAGACCGAGATCGTAGTCTGGTTGAATTGCACTAGAATGCTGTAAGCCAGTGCGGTGAGTTGTGACATCGCACAAAGCACTACTATACGAAGTGGGCGAGGTGGTTTCTTCCATAAAGGCGGCTTTCGGACGATCGACCAGCGAGGTCAATAGAGTACGCCTAACTCGCACAATGTAGAACCTTGAAAGTTCCTATGTACGGCGACTGAAGAGGCTGTCGAACACCGTCTGCGCGAAGAAGGACGTGTGAACACGTAGACAGCTTCTCCTATACTGGCTAGCCGAACAACCTCTTCGTGGTGCCAGCTAGGTGGTTCGGGTAAATCCCGTTCCAGCAAATGGTTCGGCGGCAGTGCTCCAGGATGTGGTGGGATTTCGCCTGGCAAGCGTTCTCCCTATAAAAAGCCACAAGTATCCGTTTAACAACACTGTGATGTGGCGGATGTGACTTGCCACTAAATAAAGTCACTGCCTCTTCCCTTTTCCGGAGGATCATTCACACCTCACTGACGTCATTTGATTCAAAGCGTTCCATTGATTCCTTTTTGATGACGAACACAACAAACAAAAGCACACACAGTCACATTTACCTACTCACATAGCATGTCCCCTTCCAAATACACAGTTAAACATAGTTTTACATCTCAACACACACATAAATTCCCAAGCTATTGGTCACAATGTACTAATTTGTGTGATTGTTCATCGTATATGTCTGTACTGCCATGATCACGCCCTTGATGGTGTGCCTTACAGTGAGGAGAATAAACTATTTATTTATGTGTTTACACTGGTGTCTTCTGCGATCAAGGAGAGGGTGGACGTAGCTTACGCATCTGGTGAGCTACTCGATCAGTGTAATTTCCGTAGTCAAAAGTGGAAGTACAGGGGGCTGGTGCTACCAGCTGTCCGGGTAACCACAGCGTGCAACCGTAGACTAGCTGCACTGGTGTGGCCTAGAAACCGGTTTTAACCGTGTTTCTTAAACCTAGGAGAACGAGGGGAGGTGTTTCAGACCATGAAGGATCTGCGTGCGCACATAACGCTGCGTTCAACTGGCGGTGAAAACGCTTTACCATGCCGTTAGCGGCCGGATGATACGCTGTCGTCTGAACGTGGCGACAGCCTAAATCCTTAAGCAACGTGGCAAAGGTTGACGAGAAATGTGACTCTCGATTGGTGGTCACGATGGCGGGACAGTCGTATTGAGCTGGCCAGCGCTACAGAAAAGCCTTCGCTACTGTTTCCAAAGAGCAGTTAGGCATGGGAATAGCTTCCGAACACCTAGTGAATCGATCGACATAGGTCAGGAGATACACAGAGCCTATGGAAGGTTGCAGAAAACCTACGAGGTCACCGTGCACGTGATGAAAACGTGCGTCCGGCGTCGGATACGTGCCTAATGGGCTGCATGCGAGCTTGTGCACCTTCGCGCGTTGACACGGAAGGCAAGCAGCTGTCCAAGTACGGACGTCCCGATTAACAATGCGCCAAACGAATCGTGCGGTTATGAGTGAAACCGATACACGGACGCCTGGATGAGACAAGCTGTTCAACGTGTCGAACACGGTCTTCCGAAACCCGCGTGGGACGACTGGGCGCTGCGTGCCCAGAGACAAATCGCAGAGTATAGTGCCGTCTGATGAGGTCAGCGGAACGGGTCGTATGTTCAATGAAGGAGACCTGCGTAGTAGATCAACCACAGGATCGTTGAATTGTGCTATGGCCATGGCTGCCAAGTCGATAGCAGTGCCGGCGTCAGCAGATAGCTTGAATGCGTGAAAGTGCATCGGCGACGGCGTTGTGCACACCTGAGACATGCCGTATATCGGTCGCAAACTGAACGATAGAGTCAATGTGGCGCGACTCTCTAGGAGAGGATCGGTTGGTAGTCCAGACGAACACGTAAGTCAGGGTTTGTGGTCAGTGAAGACGACAAAGGGGCGGCCTTCTAGGACGCGTCGAAAGTGAGGTATCGCCAGATATGCGGCTAGTAGTTCTCTACCGAACGTGCCGTAGCAAAGTGCGGTAGGTTTTAGGATTTTGGAGAGAAACGCTAAGGGCTGCCACGTGTCGGCTACGCGTTGCTGCAAAACAGCGCCGACTGCCAATTCCGAAGCGTCAGTTCTGAGGAACAGTGGGGCGGGCAGATCGTGATGCGCTATAGAAACTATGTTGGCAATAGCCCCTTTTAGCGACTTAAAAACAGCGCGTGCTGCGGCAGGAAATACGAATTTCTTGAGTTTCCATCGGAGAAGGTCCGTGCGGGGTTGCATCAGCGAAGCGCAGTTGGGTATGAACCGTCGGTAAAAGTTGACATGCCCATCAAAACGCCTGAACTGGTTGAAATAGTGAGGCTCGGGGTAGTCGACGATGGCATGCATTTTATCCTGCAGTGGTACGACGCCTGTAGAGGAGCCACAATGGCCGAGGAAGTTGACTGAACCAACACCCAACGAACACTTTTCTGCCTTAATCGTCATTGCGTGTTGAGCTAAACGATCAAAGTGTTTGTACGTGGCGCATGTGCTCCTCTCGTAAAGAACCTGCAATTGAAAGGTCATCCAGATACGCATAAGCGAAGTCTAAACCGAGACAAACTCGGTCGATGAAGCGCTGAAAAGGTTTGCGCGGCGTTCTTTAGGCAAAATGTCATGCGCTGAAACCCGAACAAACCAAATGGAGTCGTCACGGCAGTTTTGGCGATGTCCGCTACGGCTACCGGAATTTGGTTGTATGCGCGTACCAAGTCGAGTTTACTGAAGATATTTTTGATCGCCAGACTGGCGGTGAGATCCCCTATGTGTGGGTTTGGATAGCGATCGGGCGTGGTAACCGTATTCAAGGTTCGATAGTCTCTGCAAGGGCGCCAGTTCCCCATGACCTTCTTCGGGATCAAGTACGGAGGCGGCACTTATGGGCTGTAGGACGGTCTGACGATACCGAGTTTAAGCATGTGGTCAAATTCGGCTCGTGCTGCCCATAGTTAGTCTCTCCCCTTTGGAGGTACTACTAGTAAACGCGTCCAACCAGACCTTAGCCTTGCATAAAACGCTGAAAGCGACTGTTGCTGCTGAGACACCTAAACTTAGCATTAGACTTGTCCAAAGCCGTCTAAATGTCGGCTTTAGATGAACCTGTATGTGCCTTCATAGATGTCGTTTGCTAGCTGGCCATTACTGATGCTTCTTCATTAATCCTGAGCACTAGCCCTGTACTATGCCTTTTCCAAACATTATCAGTATGTAAACAGCAAAATACTATATATACCTTTCACGTTGTTGACCAAGAGAGCACTTTAAATGTTCTATGCCCAAGTATCAGACATTTTGCTCTCCACTTATCCCCTCTTGGCCCCATATACTTAGCTTTATATTGTATACATATGCCTTTCGCTATTGTCAACACTAGTAGACAGACGTAATGTAACCCAGATCCTCTTCTTTACCTGCTTATGCTAGTGAAACACTCGCATTTCCAGATCCCATTTCACTGGCACGAAAGCTAACCAACGACAGAGAGGCCCCTGTCACACTGGCTGTTTGGACCAACAGAAACTTTCAACCAACAGTTGTCTTATCTTGGCCGCCCGTGTGTTATTTATCTTTTATCTGGCCCCAAAGCCTAACATGCGTTATGCGTAGTGGCTGTTGAACGACCAGCTCCCACTAGTTTTTGTTACTATGCTACTCCTGCTTTACCTTATCACGCTTCGCTTATGGTGCTATAGCAGCTCTTGCCAGGAAAACCACAAAAGAAATAACCGGTGTGACAGTATAGTACTAGTTAACGTTGCCACCTGGATGAACACCACTGGCACTTGCCTCGGAACTTAAACTTGGGGAGAAATATTTCGAAATTCATCAAAGAGCTGCAAAATAGTATGCATCAACACATAAGACGTAATCATGCCTCAAGTTTGAGCAAACTCAATCCTCAGAAGTAGAATTGGTAATGCCCCACCAACGCAGACCAAAATGGATTTCACGCCTCAGAGCAATATCCTAACTTTTACTAAATTTTCCTGTACCCGTTTCTTTATTAATAGCGACAGGTTCCTCTAGCTCACTGATGTTGCAGACATACCCTAATGAATACAGAAAATCGGCTCTAAGGGATAAATCTTGCGTTGTTTAGCAAAGAACTCTGCGTATTTTCCAGGCCAAAATGTGTCAACCGATCCGAAAGGTCTGCTGTGTTACTCAGGTAGACTTGGTTCATGCGGCATTGATATAAACTTCAGAACGACCTAGAGCCATAAAAATGCTAAACTATATTCCAAATTGTTTATGTTATTCAGTATCCACTGAAAATGGAACGCTGGTGCCTTTTAATCGTGGCTTAATTATAAGTTTTCCTGGATTCCCATGCAGACATAAATTCCTTACTGGATTTCTAGCGTTTTGCGCAAAAGTATGCCTTATTTGCGTAATTTGCTATTTATACTTGTGAAGTGCACTTTTCGGCCACCTACGCAGTCCTTAGTTGTTGCAGGGTATTACGTGCTAGTTAGAGCATTTCTTGACAGCTATGCCTATTTAAAACTTATATCGCTTCGCTACTTTTACATTTTCTTTGCTTTTTTCTGCTATTTGCTAGCAAAACAGGAAGCCATTTATAGCGAAAGAGAATAATGGCCTTATTCGTAGAACACATTCAATTGCGAATAACTCGCAAACTACTGCACGTATTGCATTGTTTTTATTTTCGCCCTAATCAGCGGTTAAAACTTCTTGTGTAGACTGTTTTTGAGCTACTTTACGCAGTATTATAGCCTTAGAAAAGGTTTTTCTTTTCTCTGAGATTTACTCAGGTTAAAATGTTGCACCTGAAAGCAACATCAGTGCAAGAAACGTTTGGCTATATCTTTTGTTAATTTTTATTCTTCTAGTAAAGCACGCCGCCTTAGTATAGCACTTAACAAATCCTTTTTTCATCTGCATTTCTGGAAATTATTTTTTAACTTTTCGTACCTTTTATAATTCCGCCACTCTTATATCTTCCATGTGCGCACCAACAATTGTGGCGACTGAACGGGCCAACAAAAGTCCAATGAATTTAAAGGTGTGGTGAATTGGATCCTGTTCCGAAGAAAAGCGGCTTAAACACAGCTCTGCGCAGTTTTCACAACAAAAGAACAAGGTGATCAATATCGCTCGAAGGAACCAGAAAAATTTCAAGGCAGGCGCCTGCGACCCCATCAGCTGTACACCAAACAATGCCAATGCCTTCGTTATTGCCAACTAGAACATATACTCCTATTATGCCTACTTTCATGCAAGGACATAGGATTAATGTAAACATTGATCTGAACCCTTAAGGGTGCAGCCTCTAGCCGGTCCAGAAATATACCTATTTATTTATTTATTTAATGCAATGCATTATCCGGAAACACCACGTCATTCCGGATATCATGGTAACATAGACTGGCAAACAGAAAGGCATAGAGGGGTTGCGCTCTAGTGTTAACTAATCAACTTTTCTGATGACGAATGCGCTTGCCGTTTTCTCGCCGATTTTGCGACAACCTTAGCTGTGAGTTCGGCACAGGACTTTTGCAAACTTATGGTAATTTTTAACTTACAACAACGGTTCCACAAACCAGCAATTAAGAATTACTATAGGCACAGCCAAACATGCTACCTACAGCTGCGTTATCAACACACCACGCTGCGAACGGGACGCTTGAGACAATGGCGGTTTTGTAATTTGGATGCCGGTGTTTGAGGTATCGCAACCGTCAAGAGCATCATCGCTGGTGACCGCAGGCATCTTCATAATCCAATCCGTCTTGTAATCAAAGTTGGTGACAACGGTGTCGACAACGTTGACTGCTTGTTCCACCCTTTGCAACAGCTTTGAAGTACATACAGAAAAATGCTGGACGGCCTCGTTGGCGTCCACAACAACAGACGCAGCTAAAATGAAAACTTTCACTGGTGGCAGCATTGCGTATTGATTACCAGTCAGGATAGCACACCGCTGGTGATACCAGCGGCTGAAGTCATTGCACTGCATGCCGCCAGAATTACCTGTCGCCCGCGTACCAAAGCTATCGCTGCCGCAAGCGGCATTAGCCTCACGAGTCGAGGGGCCCTGGGGTGCAGCTGCCTCAGTGTATGGCGAAACAGACCTGACGAAGTGAATGGCAGCAGAAGTTTAACTATGTTTAAGGCTGTAAATCGACGAACTGCAAAATGCGAAACTAGGTGCAAAACGGATTTGTATACGCTAGAACCGAAAAATTACTAACCAGAGTCGACAAAACCCTTTTGTACAGCACGGCTTTAATTGCTCTAAGAAGCCTTGGATTAGAAAACATTTGAAAGCAGCCAAACTTTATTTCACATGTTTATTCAAACAAGGTTTTCACAATATTTTAGCTAATATGCTCGATTATCATAGCACACAAAAATTCGAGTTACCGCGTCGGAGCAGCTCAGTCGTGAGAAAGTTTTTCGTATAGAATATGGTAGTCTGTTTGCCGCGAGAACCTTGGGTTATTTTTAATCAGGCGAGAAAATTACTTCCAGGTCCTTTCCGGCTGGCTTGTCAAACTATCTCCTCGTAGTGCCAGCTGTATAGTTCGGGAGGATCACGTTCTAGCGAAAGGTTCGGCAGCAGTGTTACAGGACGTGGTGGGATTATACCTGGCAAGCTTTCTCCATATGGAAAGCCACCAACGTCTGCTTAACCACCCTGTGACATGGCGGATGTGACCCTCCACTAAATAATGTCAACGCCCGTTGCTTCACCTCGCTGGAGTATTGTAATCCTTTAGGTTGACGCGGAATTATTAGGAGTATGGAGCCCCTGCTTAGCAGCCAACCAAACAAAAGTCATAGGGACCAGGCATTCGGTCACCGTCTCCCAATGGGCGCGATTCTTGGAATTCGCTCCGCTGCCTTGCGGGTCTGGTCTTTATGATCATTGGCCCGGCTTGTGGCCCCTAAGTCAACCCCTATCTCGGCTGTGCAACCGGTAAGCTGTGTGCTCACAACAAGCATGAAGTGATGGATTTAGGACTTACTGCTCAGGCAAATAAAATTAACAAAAGCAGTACCTCAGTCGTTAGCACTGATGCTTCGCTGCCATACAACCAAGATGGTCTATAGATGAAAGAATATTACATAAGGTAGAAGGGGGACTTACCTGAAAACATTAATGCCACAAGCAAACATTCAGTATGAGGGCGCCTCCACCCTGTGTATACAACACACCGTCACAAAGAGCCGTCTCTCGTGCAAAGATAAGGCGGAATCGGTGGGTCAGCTTCCTTTCGGATTTCACTGCCCAGCGTCATAATCAGCCATTACGCCGCAAATAACCCAGCACAAAACACACTTTAAACAAGCAATCCGACTAAGAGACGGCAGCAGACGCGCCAATGGCGTCGGTTGCGAACCATGTCCAGTAAAGTTGCGAGCCATGCACAAGACGAATCACACGAACTCAAGTCCGGAAGGCGAGACGGACCCGTGGCACCCAGGTTGGAAGTCAGTGATTTTATTTCCCGCTGCCAAGTCAACCTCTATCCTCCTCAAACCTTGCGCCATCCTACAGCTGACAGACTAAA